GTTTCCTAGAAGGCTTGGCGTCCGTTTTTTTGCTTGTTTGACAATGGGATGCAAAGTGGGGGATGCATATTTGACATTTTTTTCTTCACTTCTAATTACTACATTTTTGCGGCGACACAACCGTAAATTATTCTAAGCAATGCATACACGGTTGATCATTAGTGAGACGTGTTAACGTCAACTGGTGTGAGTCGTCGCTCACTATTCTTTTTTTCCGAACATACCATCTGAGACCGAATTGTCATTCAAAACAGCCCACAGTTCTTCGAGCATTAATTTTCGCTGGGCATAGACTTCCTTCAGGCTCTCGCGCCTCACTGCGATTTCATTCGGCCGTTCCAAGTGATAAAATGCAAAAGCACCGCCGATTATGTACAGCAACGACAGGATAATGAGGCCAACATGAGGCAAAATTATTCGTGCGTATTTCTTCCAACCGGCCATTGGAGCTGGCAGCACCTGCAATTTTTTAATGATAATCGCGAACCAAATACTATAACTGAGAAATTAACTATTTTTATAAAGTTCTGATTAGATTGATCAGCTTTAATTCAAAGCATAATTCTCCGACTATACTGCTCACAACTTTTTCAGTTGTTTTGACCATTGTTTCGTTGCCTCGTGTTTAGCGCGCTGGCAATGTTTCCTCTCTCGAAAAAGTAATTAACCCAAGGTTTCTCCTAAAAGAATCACTAAGTAAAGCTTTCGCTGCTTCCAGTTTTACTCATCCTGAACGTTATCGCGCCTAGGGACTTAAGCATTTTTCCCATACCAGTTTTGCCGATTTTAACAGAAATAAAAAAGAAAACGATATATTTAATGAAGGAAGGCAATTTTGGAAAAAAAGGATGTCATTTAGCCAAGAATCGCTTTTTTTGGCCGATTGACGTCATCTTTTATTTACATTAGTCTCAGGATCCTTTCCGGAAAAGGCCAACAGACTGTTGTATTTTTCCTCTCTGATTTATATTGCACGTACATCGGACAAGTGATAAGTACTGACTGAAGATATACAGTCCGGATCAAGGACCTAGCATAAATAGAAACTCCAGCAACAAGTGCTTTGTGTAGCTGATATTTTCAGATATTCTGCTTGATAGATATAATGCATACATACAAGTATACATGCAGAATTTAATGTATTCCCTACCGTATTGTAGTTCTACCGTACAGATAACATCACACAAGTGTAGCTTCTGGTGCATGGACAGTTTCATTATATGGTTGCTGGAATTTCAGTGCAGCTGCGTTCGGCGTGAGGAAGCATCCAGTAACATCATTAAAATGGGATACCCTTACTGATTGTCTGGGTGATCTTGGTCATTTAAGACCAATGCATTTTGCTCAGCGTTATCAATCATTTTGAGAGTGAAGTGGAACGAAGTCAAGTTGCTTCTCGAGAATCAATGCATAGAGAAGTTTTGGAAAGAAAGGGACTAATGTGTTCTTCGCGATTTCATGACAAGAAATAGGAACAAATAACGCAACTCCCAGTGGAATTCCAATCACGAAATAACCAACAGCTTTGTGTAGCAAATTTTCGGTTGCCATATATGGCTACTACTTTTTATTATTTCTTTTGTTATTTTTTGTTTTTTTCTTTTTAAATAATTGTCCAAATCATCACAGTCAAGAGGGTGGTTAAGGGCAAACAAGCAGGCGGCTTTGACCTTTTCCTGAAAATACGGGAAAATTTTGCATCTTTTTTTTAAAAATTACAAGTCATAAACTTGGTTGTAAGCAATTTTCTTAAGAGGAAGCAGTTGTCAGCTCTGTCAGGGGGCAGTTGGCATTTGCTACCACTTAAGCTACTTTTCTGAAGTAAATATAGAGCGAGCTTTAGTTTTTATGCGTTTTTGCCGTGCAGCGCTAGAGCGCTGCAACAGGCAGCAAAAACGCATAT